TGCAACATTGCATCACTGATTCGCTTGACAACACCGCATCTTGTACATTTCAAGGCAATTTTTCCTCCTCAATGATCAGAGTTGAGCGATTTTGATCAGTTCCCATCTAGCGCTCGTAGCGGAGTGTCATCCTGCTTTGAAATTGTTTTCACCTGTGTACACACAGGCAGTGATACTTTGTATTGCATAAGGGAATTTGTTAATTTTCAACACCGAGTGGTCGGAAAATGTAACTTTAACTCAGGATATGTTTTATCACCATCGGTGGGAATCAAAGATAATTCTAAAATAAATTAAAACACTGAGTCGCATCAAACTTGAAATTTATAATTCTGATCACAATGAAAACCAAATATTAAATTTAATGTCGAATAGACCTTCTATTTGGGTTTGACAGTAAGCTAACCTATTCTAGAAGCCTGTGCGAACATTTTCTGGTGTAACATATTGGCAATGTGGCAGATTGAACGACCTTCTGCGTCACCGTCGCTACGCCATGTGGTGATGACCTTCGCTGACCAGCAGGCTTCTATCTTTTTCTAGCGTAGACACTTACCGCGCTTCTCTCTGGTACACATTAAACTCAAGCAGTCAGACAAATTTGGTTTTCTCTGTATAACTGGTATCAAATAGGGTAACGTTGGTATAGTCCCTATTTATGGTGACCACTATCATGAAACAAATCGAAATGCTGACGTCGACTTTTCGACGCCGATTCGACGTTGGCATTGGTGGCGCTGGTATTAAATAGCAAAATACTTCCACTTTCGACCATACGTTTATTTATATAGCACTTTCGTACCAATTTCATAGTCATAATATAATAGTAATAAATTTCCCCATTAATATACAACATGGTTTTAAATTTCAATCCAAAAAAAGATATCCTTGTGTGTGTGTAAAGAGATAAATACCTAAGTTTACTGAATTAAAATAAATGTTTGTTACCAAAATAAATAACCATATTTTATACAGAGTATGCGACGTTGTGTAGTATAAATTTCAAGTATTATATCATAGTATTATATGTTACTACGTTGTAATCTGGAATTTCCCTCAACCAAATTTTGGGTTCTCTTTTGAATTTAATGTTATTTTATTTTTTAGTTTTTGCTCATATGTTATTATAAAATAGTGGAGCCTGATAGATAAATGATTTTAGCATTATATCTTTCGTTGGGGTAAAGTTCAGATGGAAATAACACCAATTCTATTAGCGACTTATTGCATACGTATAAATATGGTATAAAGTTCATCGCTAGTCAAATTTAATATTGTTTGGGCTGCGTGGGTGTATTAAGGAGTTCTATATATTTATATATTGTTCCAAATCTACAGTTGATTCCGGTCACGTGCCTAAATTCCTTGCTTGGGATTCCTTTAATTAAACTTTTGTACTTTATGGTTTTATTTGCTCGTCGATAGCTTGTGCCCTTAGCCCCACAAATAAGGCCAACCTTTAAGGGGTGTAAAAAGGAGATGTAATTACTTGTGATTTTGAACTTTAAAATTGGTTCATAAAATTGTTTCCGTGCTTTATGCGTAAGCGGGAGAGTATTTTGTTTCACTGAAGTTTTTGAATTCATGTGAACAGGGCATTTACAGGTGCTTTACGATGTGAACCCGGCAAAAGTCTAAAGGTCTATATTGTTACCATATTTGCAAAAGGACTTGAAGTTTGGCCCGATGACGGTGATTGAAAAATTTAGCGGTTAGCTGTCTGGTCTAAAAATTGAACATTATACAAGACATTCCATTTTAAATAAGCAAGATGGTATCTACTTCTGATACAATCGTAAGTCCCAATATTATGAAAGTACTTTACCCGAATTGCTCTCCTCAGTTATACTGTAACCTCAAATTTTTATAATTGGTTTACGACAATTTTTCAAATTATCTACAGCTGCAATTCTACGTGTGACGCCCTGTATCAAGAATAACTCCAAATGGAAGAACGAATTATGGCAGTTTGAGAGATACTGAGTCGGTGTACTTGACTCGATTTTTTATAACGTACTAACCATTAAGTGTAATAGGTGTGTGCGAGAGAGCAGCATCGATTTAATTTCCTGGTGGAGAGAGCAATTACGTAAATCCCGGAAACCGTTAATTCATCAAGCCATACATCACGCGCAAGAGGGATGTGTACGCGAACAAGAAAAATCGTTTCAGATACAAGAATAGATTGTAAATGTGCAACGGTGCACGAGCAACCGAATCGTACAATCTTGGTAAAACTTGGTTAAATCAAAGGGTCGAGGAATAGCGCTTGAAAAAAAATCATAGGATGAAGCAAATTATGCTAAGACTATATGGGATACTGAGTATCAAAGATCCGTAGTAATAGAAATATATGGGAACTCCACAAAAATTTTGCAAATTACACTCTTTTAATTCGAAAAGTCAAGATTTAGATGGTCTATGCCGTCATCATCAGAAGCTGAAAACAAATTTAGAAAGTAGCAACTATAAACAATTAAGTGATGTTTCATTACTTACTAAGTCGACGAGATTGTTGTCGAATTGTTCTTAAAAGGAGGATGATGAGACAACATAGTAAAATGATCAAAGAACTGGTTACATGAGGTTCATTTAGAAAAATCACTAAAAAGTCATAGCTATGTTTGAAAAAAAACACTAACGGATTTAAAAGAAGGTTAATTATTTTTTGAAGTTTTTAAATCATCTTTTTGGAACTTCTACATCTTCAACACGTGCTCAGCAGGCCGACGTGTGAAGTTGACATTATTGATTTATGATCAATTGTAACGAGATCACCTCGTTACCTGACTTGCCTACCAAATAGGAATTACGTGTGGTATTAAGAGAAGCGTTTGTCAACGTCCAAGATGTTGATTGTGACAAATCAGTGTTAGGAGATATGTGAAATCTTTCCAATTTTCAGTTCAACAAATATGAATAAATGACGCTAAGTTGATTGACATCAGCCTTTTTGTTCACACAATTGTCTGTCATAAAAATGTGAGACATTTCTAGAAGCAAATATTCAGATATATGGTATGTTTGAAGCCAAAGCACATCTTTCTGGATGCAATAAGGAATCGCTTTTATGAAGTAAGAAGGAGTTGCTCTTACTGCGTTTTCCTTTTCTTGTTTCGTTGGTTAATGAATTAAATTAAGGATGCTCATTCCCTAAGAACATTTTGGCTACGACGGCAACTTTTATGTCACGACAATAATAGAGATAATATTCTATCGCTGCCTAAATAGTGAGCCGTTCTAGAACACACGAATGCAGTGCCAAGTTTCTCCGTCACAAATCGAGTAATTTCCTGCTTGGTCAAGCTTTCCCCGTCCTGTGTAATTATATTATTCTAATTAACACAGCTTTACTGTCAACGATCGTCGCCTACTAGTAAATGAGCTGTCAGATCTAGGAAATTTATGCTCTTACAAGAAGGAGCTAGAGAAGTGAAGAGAAAAGGAAGGAGGATTATCCCAAACCAAACAGAGAGCGTTTCGGCATCACAAATGTCATATTAGTGAAACGTTGATACTAACCTTATATTGACATTTATCACATACTAATCGTTAACCTGAACGTTAAATATGGTTAACAATAATGCTTTCGTATGTGGATATTTGTTATGAGCAAACACAAATATTGCATACGTAAGCCTTAATGGTAATAATCCATTGACTTCTTATGGCTTAAATGCCAATATTAACGTTTAAGTTTGAGACAGCTAAGACTCTATTAGTTTTGGCAATTACAAATATCGCATACGTAAACTTTAACAAGGTGACTTCCTTAAAGTACAATTGACAATTGTTAGTTAGTTCGGCAATAGCAGTAGGTATTTGAGAGAATGTTAAGAGTATTAAAGTTGGAAAGTACCATGTGCTATCTTACGAGTACATCATCACTTCTGTTCATATGGTTCAGATTATGTTGTTCTGATTTCGCTGTCCAGATTTGAAACAGATCAGAGAACGGATATCGAAATGGTCGGTGTTACGCTTGCTTAGCAGACCGATATTTTCAGGCCTCTCTGTCGTCGATGGGTAATGTATGATCAGCTCCTTTTGTCTATACGCTCATCTTAACATCCTTTGGTATACACGTTCGTAACATAGTCTGTTTCGTGGAGAAACAATTTTACAAAAGAAGAATGGGTCTTCAATCAACGCGCCATTTTTATGCTTAGCAAGCACAGTAAAACCCTCATAAAACTTCTCCAAACAGAGACCGAACCGTATTTGTCACTGTCTCTCAATTGTCAGGACGGAGAGATAATGTAAGTTTTTATAGTCTGGCGACATTAAAACCGATCATCTATAAACAGAATGGACACAGAGTCGTAGATTCTGAATTTTGAGCACCACTCTTAGTACCATACTTGATGGTTTTAGGAAGAAAAACCCTTTCTTGGGAGATATATTGCTCATATTCGAAAATCACGTCTCTGATATGTAGAAAAATGTCAAATTTTGAACAAAAATAGAAACTTTCCGTAAACCTACAGTATGCAACTACTGTTGATGGAACAGATGACATGATTTTTCTGTGTTCTAGTTTTCCCCAAGAACAATGTTGGCAACTTTTTTAGTGTCATAATCCATAGACTCTTTGGTCCAATTTTCGAAGTCTCTGCATACCTGCTTAAATGATTCATCATTACTATATTTTGACTTTCGACGCCAACTGGGGAAGATAAATCATGAAACATTTTGCAAAATGGATGTTGTTGGGTGTTACATAATATATACATCGCAAAAAGCGATGTCACTTATTACAGTCTATCAGCGACTAGTGAAAAGAAATAGACCTTCTTCTGGTAGATTAGAAATTCTTGATATATAGGCATCGACAGAGTTAAAATGATAAACAGAAGTCCGGCGAGTCCGTCTTGCATGTCTTGAATGTGAAAATGTTATGAAGGGAAACTCTCCTGTTATACCAAATAAAAACGACATTTGATGTGATAGCGCCAGTCAGTCGAATTGGCTTCTATTCAGGATTGCAGCCAAAGTCTTACCTGAGCATTACTCAAAGTTTGTGCGAAATCTCTCCAGCGCTTCTACATCTTAAGGTTAGCAGATAAGCATATCATTCCGAAGAAAGCTAAATGCCTAGCTAAAATGATATAGGACCTCAAAAAAAACCTAATTGGACTATTTTTTCTAAAAATGCCATTAGCCCAAACGTCTACAGAGGGAGGTGGCAGCTGTCCTCTTTCTCTCAAGCCCGACAGAAGCTGATGAAGAGAACATTTATGATAAAAGTTAAATTAATACACAGCTGTTTATGTGCATATTTCGCCTAAAGCCGAATATTATGTTACATGGAGGATTAGTTAAAACCTACGTTGGAGTTTAACATAACATTACTTAAAGCATTATATACTATACTTATAGTTTAAATGGTTTTATTTTAATAAAATTTTCTATAAGTACTTAATGAAGCATGATAAAAATTTCAAAATGATTGCACTGCTTTAAAGCCCTTTGACCTTTAATAATGTGTGGATGCACCCTGATGTGCTACGCATTCTCCAACGCGCCTAGGCATGCTTCTGATCAGGTAGTCAATGTCCTCCTGTGGACTCTTGCAACATGTGGTCGGGCATTATCTTGTTGGAAAGTTGGATCTGCCAGGGTGTCAAGATAGGGTAAAAGATGGGGTTCTAGAACTTCGTGCATATAACGCTGCGCGTTCATATTACCTCTGATGAAGATTGAAGGTGACCTGGAACCATAAGCTATAGCACCCCAAAGCATAACTCCAGCAGTGTGATGAACATGTCTTTCAACAAAAAACTGTGGATTCCTCCTTTCAGCACGGCGCCTTCTAACCCTGGCACGACCATCGTGCATGCCTAAACAAAATCGAGACTCGTCACTAAAGACAATACTGTTCCATTCCTGATCCCAGAGTGGCCGTTGTCTGCACCACTCAAGGCGATTACGTCGGTGTAAGGGGTAGAAGGCGACGTGGTGGAAGGAGGAATCTACAGTTTTTTGTTGAAAGACATGTTCATCACACTGTTGGAGTTATGGTTTGGGATGCTATAGCTTATGGTTCCAGGTCACCTTTAATCTTCATCAGAGGTAACATGAATGCGCAGCGTTATATACACGAAGTTCTAGAACCCCATCTTTTACCCTATCTTGACACCCTGGCAGATCCAACTTTCCAACAAGATAATGCCCAACCACATGTTGCAAGAGTCACAATAGACTTCTTTCAACATAATGATGTCACATTGTTACCATGGCCACCAAGATCTCCCGACTTATCCCAAATTGAGCACGTGTGGGATATGATGGGTAGGAGATTGCTCAACTTGCAACGTCCTCCTCAGACTCTAAAAGCACTTCGAGAGGAGTTGGTGGTTGCCTGGAATGAGATACCACAGGAGGACATTGACCACCTTATCAGAAGTATGCCTAGGCGCGTTGGAGAATGCGTAGCACATCCAGGGTGCATCCACACATTATTAAAGGTCAAAAGGCTTTAAAGCAGTGCAATCATTTTGAAATTTTTATCATTTACTTATTATGCTTCATTCATTCATTAAGTACTTATACAAAATTTTATTAAAATAAAACCATTAAAACTGGGTGTACGGATTTATATGTCACTTAGTATATGTATCGGGCGACCAGATTTGTTCCTGATTTAGTCGATGGAAGATTTTAAAATACATTACACATTAATATTGCTACTTCTTCTCCTCTGTATGTGGACATAATTGGAATTTCAGTCTGATGTTTCGTTTCTCTGTTTATTGAAATTTGTACCGGTTTCGACATCTTATTATAACCCTTGAATAATATAAATGAATTTCCGATCTTACATCAATCTGTAACATGCTATCATATATGATATTATGTGATATGTGATAATGTTGGCATGCAGTAACTTTTGAAATCAGAAATAAATCAATTCGCCTATGCAAAAATAGACAGAAGAAAGGGAGGAAAATGACTGAAAAGTTAAAAATTGGCAATGAGTATGTCCAACTTATTTTTAAATAACATTTCAAATAAAGTCGGAAAAATTAAAAATGTCTTGGAAAAATTATTTTTTTCTGTCTATCTGCACTTTCGAAAAAATAAATAAATATGCAATTTTGCCCTATTTAATCGATCTCGTACATCTTACCGATTCAGTGCTTACAATGGAAAAATACAGCAAATTAATTTTTAAAAGCATTTTAGAAGCAAACCAGGCACATATCCTACAAGTTCTATATTTTTTTTGCTTATACGACGAACTTACTAGTACGTTTTAGAACAGTTGGAGAAAACTATGAGAAACAACAGAATATATTGACAACGATATTGCTTCAGCGGTTAATATTGTATGCTATATCCCCGTATATATCCCACTTCTCCATGTAAGCTGGCTTATAAGAATATAACTAAAACATGTAAGGTATTCCATTTAAAGAAATACATGATTGTGTTGCCATGCCGTTATGAATTATCATATAGGGAGAGGTACATTATTTCAAGTAGGAAACGTATAGTTACCCACAACTTTCTTTCTAATTATCGTTGATAATAATGGAGTCATTGACCGATTGCACACAAAAATTCACCCTGTATGTCTAAGTTATTGCAGCAACTACGTCTCTGGATAGCCTGTCAACCCGACAAAAAAGCAGAAAGTATAAGTACTGTTTGTGATACAGCAATCTCAATATGCATGTGAATTCTCCGATCATCCCCGTATGAATGGGTAAGACACATAATTGCAAATAGAAAAAATATATCAATAGTATATATATATATCAATATAGTAGATTAGCTTGGCTTGACTTCCATCAGAAATCGTTAGAAGCTTCTCCCTTTCCGTTTTAAGCTGGGTATGTCCATGCCATGTCCATTGAGATTTACAACATAATAAATTAAGAAAGAAAAATAAAAAATAGCCTAAAGCGATTCTCTATCAGCCTCCTGCGGAGCTTTTTGTTCGTTGTGAAAGAGCAGTGTTTATATGTTGAGGCAAAAAAATACTAGAGAACCTGTAGAAGTTCTTGGGAAGCCCTACTTTCCAATATCCTTCTGATTGTAACTGATTTCTCTCATTTTTACCTCCAGTTTCCATTAGCGAAGAAGTATTGTAATCGCAAAGACTTAAAAAATGAGGTGTAATGTTTTTTTGCTGGTTGGTCTGACTGTCGATCTATCGCTAATCCTTGGCCCTTCTATAGCTCGAAGAGTACCGCTCGGATTTTGATAAAATTTTTATAAAAGGCTACTTTTATGTCAAGGAAGAAGCAACACATTTGCAGATTTTGAACATTCATGAAGTTATGACTGTTATTGTTAAAAAAACGCACGATCGTGGAAATCTTATTTTATAGGTAGATAATTGGAAGGGATTACAAGGAACGGGAGAGGGTATATGAGTAATTAATTTTTTTGGCGTTGTATATTCTTACACTTCAAACCCCTGTAACTGTACGCGCACCTATTAAACATACATGGTATACATATTTTCATTACCTGTGTCGAGCGCAAAGGAAACAGACAGTAAACCTGTCATGAAATGGCTAGCGATACTTACTCATCGCAACAACCCAATTTTGCTGAGCATAGCCTCTTATGGACTGATAAGGGCGTTCCATGGGAGGTGCAGAGTCAACCTACTTGACATTTCTAAGGGCTGGAACGCCGATGTAGGTATGTACATGGCACTCAGTGGACACAAGCGTTTTGCAATAAAACTCGTGTCGTGGGAATAGCATTGTATCGAATCTGCATTGTCAGAGTAACTGTAGCGGAAAAATTACCAACTCAACGCTACTAAATATATTATTGAGAATGCTGGCACATCAAAAGTCTAACTGTTGTTATATCCATTTCGATAATGACTGAAATATTACGACGTTCCATAATACCTACAGTGCTTTTCAAAGAGGTCCTCCATAATCATTTTTTGAACGTGTCAGATGAGTAAGTTGCATTTTGGGGAGATGAAATTTACGGATGATTACTATACTTTGACGTAAAAGTGGTAGCTATAAATTTCATGATGGCGGCCAGGCGTCATGTTTGCACATTTTTGTGAATAAAATGAGGGTTCATGTGATACCTTATTCTGAAGCTCCTTATAAGTAATCTATAACCACAGAATGTAGAAAGCCATCTTTCAAAATGCGGCGAACCTGCAGGCTGACAAATTTGAGCGTTTCTACGAGTATAATATGGTTACTTCTAATTCAATAACTAATCTTCAAAACGCTGTTGGTAGTATGTTACATCAATCCTCCTCTCCTACAATGGTCTATCGGAAAAAATCTGACAAAAAATTAGCTACGAACATGTATGACGAAAAAATTAAAGGAATCAAGATAGTCAATTAAGCTCATACAATTAAAATTTGTATATTCAGCATGATTTTTTGTGCCTATACCCTATTATTGGGGCTCTTTAGGATATAGCTCCCTGAGAAAACAAGCAACCACTCGCTCTTCTAAAAATTTAGAGGCAGGTATGCCTTTACATAAAGTTATCGCTTGCTCTTCCCATGAGAAAAAAGGCTGCAGGTGCAGATGATCGGACTATGTGACCGACGGTCCACATCCAGTCGAGGAGCGGAGGCCGACTGCTACACTCATCCCAGCTAAGAACTGTCACTCGTGTTAGTGTTGCAAGAATGAATATACAGCACGCGTATTCTGTATCCTCTAAGAATGAAATTTCTTTCTATAAACTGTCTATCGCACTTTACCCTATTGTGTAAGGTGTTTCGGCAGCGATCGGGTTGCACGAAGGCATTGTTCGGTATAAAGGAATAGAAAGACTATATTACATCTTTCTATTATTCTTGTCTCTTCTTAACACACGCGTACTTACTGCATCTTTGTCGGCAGTCGGCATGTTGTCTACATTTCTTAAAGGGGTTATGTATATGTTAATAACAACGACGTTTAATAATAAACATCTACAAGTGAATGCCATGGGTCAGTCTCAGTTTGATATCAAACTACTTAATTTTCAAATAACATTTTCCAGATAAACGAGTTTTTAAGACTCATCCTTAACAATGGACTTTGGAGAAGAGCATCCCACAATTTTTGGACCACAATTCAAACATGGTGACGGTGATGCTAGACAAAATGCGATATGTTGGGAGAATCTAGTACAATCATTGAATTCGATGGAATTTGGGCTTAGGAGTTTGGAGAAATGGAAAACGGTTTGGTTTTTAAATCATGACCGTATATATTTATCTATATCGCTCTTGTTGCACAAATTATAGACAGTAGTTTACAACTTAGGTTTACTATATACAACTGGAAAAAACTTTTGATTATTCTAAAGTTCTTTGAGAATTTGTATTTTAAACCTTCAAAGCACAAACCAGCTTCAGCAGCTTACCAAAATGATTAAAATTATATATTATGTCAGTTTTTCATTTAAAAAGGTACAAATATATGTACTTTGAAATACTTAAAGAATGAATGTGGGTGTTTATTAATGTTTAGTGTTGGACTGTGCTATGTCAATAATTTATCATTTTTATATATTGCTTCAGGCTGTTGGTAGATGGAAATCGAAGGTTGAGGCAAAAGTAGCACAGCTGAGGATCGAGAGCCAAAAAACTAATGGTGTTTAAATGCTGCTCCTTTAACAGACACAGAGGAGCGACTAATTAAATTAATTAGTTGGAAATCAGTAACAGGGAATAGAAATGTTGGGATTGGTAATTATGCCATTTGATACATTCAAATAAAATTGTAAGTAGAATTGTAATATGCAGGGTGAGCTTTCAGTGTGGCCTCGGTTCATAACTCTGTTATTAAACATGATATCAATCAATCAATTTTCAAATGAGGCACCTTGTATATTTTAATATCCTCTCATTGCCTTTCAACAAGATTGTCCTTTTTGTAATTCAGATGTGAATGGAAAAAAATTAAGAATTTTACATTACATTCCCATATAAAACGTAGCATAATAGCAGAGTTAGCAACTGAGCCCACACTAAGAATTAACCCTGTATGTACTTAAAATACAAACATTTTCATCTACAGGGATCCATCCGGCCTATCGCAGCCCACCAGCCACGGCCAGAATTGGAACCGTTCACAGAAGGAAGCAAAACTGCAACACCAGATCCTCAACCTTCTTGCAGCACAGTATTTAAGTCGTCTCCAACACTAAGGTTACTTAATCAAGAACCAGCCAGAAAACGTAGTTGACTGTTGAGTCTTATGGATAACCACTATCTCCAATTAGCCATGAATTATGATCACCATTATTGTACATTTCTTCTAAATGTGTCCTTACATTGTAATTTCTTCATATAAAAGCGTCATGAGATGCTCCACCATAATTTGCTTTTATATTTAGAATCAATAGATTTGCATCACATATTAATTGTACATTTTTTGAATGATATTGCTTTCTATTGAAATATATAGATGCTCATCCTCTTGAGGCAATATGAATGCCATCAATGCAGCCTATTACTCCTAGAAATCCAAATTGCGCCACAAACTGTTCTTTTTTCTGTTGCTTTTCAGCTTCACTTAATGGGAATTTTACCCACCTATGAGCAATTGACTTTAAAGCCAGACAAACTTCAGACACTGCTCTGCTAAATGCAGGTTGTGACAATGCCACATACGCCTCATTTTCTCCTGCCTTCTGATATGAGCCCTGAGCAAAACATCTTAGGGCACCAAAGATCCTTATATGGACGGGAATTCTTGTGCCTCTTAATCCTGCATCCATAAGAGGGGTAAGATCACGAATGAGATCTTGTACCAACTGCCGACTAAGCCTAAAGCACTTTCGGAACTCTCGTTCAGGCAATTCGAATGCATTTTGTTGATCTCGTAAAGTTCTCCGCTCCAAACGTAATTGGTTTTGTGCTTCTTTATCTTCTGCGTCTTGTAGCAAATGAAGGAATATTGGCTCCATACTATTATGAACACGTAGGTGCTATTTTTTGTACTTTTACCTCCTTACATAAACTTGCACGAGTCGAAAATATAAATTATTCTTAATTTGGAATTTCCCAACAAATTGACAAATTAAACAAGCAAAACAAGAAATATTTTATATTGTTGCCAACTTACCCGAATGATTTCCGAAATTTCCATAAAACATGTCAATGTTTTTAAAATGGATATTCACATTTCTCTACAACCAAACGTACCCGACCGTCCGTAGAGAAACAGTACATAGAATAAGTTCAGGACATAGAAAGACTCTCTATGCTTAAAGAAAGAAATTTCTGTTTCTAGTATTCCTTACACAGCATTGTACATGTATGTTGCAAGAGAATTGCTAAAACGCTCATTTAAGAGGTTAACAGTTATACAACAAAAGTCTAAACATCTTGCAGCAGCTAAAAAACATTTGCGTCAGTGCAAGATTCAATTTTTGTCAACTATACAACCATTATGTTACATGACTATACTTTATTGCGACCAAACTATTTCTGATGTATTGTATAGGCGAAGTAAAGAATATGTATAAGTAACACATTACAGTCATTTTGTTTACTTACATATCGGCCATACGAATTTCATACACAGGTATATGACCAGCTTCTTCACCGCCATACAGGGCTATTGAATGACTTGCGCAACAAATTTTATTGTGCTTATCCTACAAAGTAGGGACGCAATTTCTACGGGATTCGGATTGGATTCATATTTTAATACTGATTAAATCTTCCACAAATCCTATAATTAGGCACAATTACATTATTGTTTATCATTATACATAATATCTGTAATATCGGGCTGAAACAGAATTATTTGATTTTCAATTAAACAATATATTTATTACCCAATATGGCCGGTGGTTATGTGTACTCATGGCATCGTCCATATATAGTCTTTCTGCAGGTGTTATATAGCAGTTTGACAAATCTCTGAAATTATATACGCACTGAGTCAGAGATTGTACCAAATCTATATCTTCTGTTTGAAAAGTTGATAAAACCTTTAAAACAAATATTCATGTGTTGCTTGTCTTCAAATATTGGTTATGCCATTTAACCTAAAAAGATGACAGCAGAACGTTAGGTTGGAATTTTATACACATATATACCCTATTTCACGAGTATCCATCACGCTTTGACGTCTACTCAGGTGAACAGCTGATCAGCAAGTGACATTTTTGTGTTAGTCTTCAACGTTGGCCATAATGGATCGGGTATAAATCTAGTAAAACTTGTTTGTAGCGTTTTGTCTTTTGTATGCATATGAACTTTCTAAATAGAAGAAATGTTAGCAAGTACAAATTGAATCTGTAGCGTACAAATACCTAAATAAAATTCGTCCTGTGCCGATATGGGGAATTTAGAGATATTACTAGATAATCAGCTATCATTCTACCGGGCTGAATACTCGTTTTAGCAACTGGAGATTCAACAGTTGTATAAGTGCTTCCGTTGGTAGCAATTTGTTGGCTAAAGTAGTAATTTAGCACACTAAATCTGGGTTTGTTGTATAAATGGATGCCACAACACAACTATTTTGACTACCGTGCTAATATGCCGTATAACGTAGTTGTATAAAAGTTTATGCAACATTTCAGAATATGTCCTATAAGATGTTGTACATATAACTATGCTACAAGAATGTTTTAGACATCTCATCTTAGAGCAAATATGTTGTAGAAAGCAAATTTGCATTCCACACAACATTAAGTCAGTATTTTATTGTTGAGGTAACGACAAAAGGGAACTTTTACGACTGAACAGTTCCTCTATCAAAAACTTGTAGCACTACTTTGCTTTGCATCGGCAGGATCGCAAAAGGTATGACCGACGCGAGGTCGGAACTATTTCTCTACCATTCCAAGTATTAAGGATAAGTGTACGGAGAAATCTACGATGAGTTAAATATGTCCAAAAGGTGCGTAGAACTACCGAACCGGAAGACATAAGTATGCCAACGTCAAAAAATTGTGACATACCCTACCCCAACCCCCCCCCCTCATTTGTTACCCGTAAAAAATAATTCAATAATGATCAATATCCTCTGAAATGTCAACAGTTTGGGAGATTTTTTTTTACTTTATTTCTGCAGCCACTGGATCGATTTTTATAGACGATGAATATTTTCCGTCCTTGGCATAGTAGTAGCATTGCGTAAAAAACTCATCCAAATCCGACCGTGCCGTATTACGAATCATGGTAAGGTACGTTATATCGATTTTCTTTGGCGTTATACTGTTCTTTTTCTAGAGATTATGTAGGTTTATCCACAAAATTTTAACTTAATACTTAGTTGTAGGTGCCTAAACGTCATGAGGCTTCAGTTACCAATTCTTGGCTCTCATGTGATCTAAAATCTGCTTCAGAGATGGCATTACTGGAGGTCAACGCTGTAAGTTGTATCTGTTGATAATAATTCTATTGGATTCTTGTCTCAAGTACACTTACTTGGGATTCAAAGCTAGAAATTTGTTGCGCATCCACTTTTTCTTATTCATTCTGCAAATTACATATACAAATTTGCTGAATTTCAAAAATGAGAGAGATAAGAAATTATTATATTCACTGTACACTGTCAAATTACAAGCCGTCCGTATACATGCTAACAGTACTCAGAAACAACGCGGCAGCGGTGGTGATTTCCCTTAATTCTCCTCAAAGATTTTCGTAATTTATAACTTATATATATATATTATAACACTTCAGAAAGCACAACACAAATAACTCGTCGGGCACAGCTAATAGATATACTTCATGGGCAGCAAATTCAGTAATGATTTTCTCACACAGCAAATATCCCTGATTTTATACACATGCAGACCAATACACATAATCATCCAGATGCGATTTTGCTATTCAACCAACTTTCTTCTCAGAGATGAAAACTACAGACCACTTGGCTTCACAAAACATATGCAACCAGCAATGCGTGTCGTTTAGTTGAATCATGACATTTTATAGTTTTTTTTACGTTTTGTAGGTTTTTTACATAATACCCGTGCCACGGAAATGAGTGACATGGTTATTGTAATGTACACGTTATATAACATTCAAAAATAATAATATTTCATTTTTGAAACATTTCGCGTCAATAGAGTACGAAGTAAAATAAACCTCGTAATTACAAGAAAAAATACTGCAAGAATCAAGGTACAATAATATGATTTGAACAATATCCAATGTTCTACAAAATCATACAAACTTATTGCTTGAACTACATTAATTTATTGATAGATGTTGAAGCAAAGGAATTCTAGCTTTGTACTAAAATTACAGCATTTAACTTGTTTCAAAATAATAACAATAACCCGAAGGAAAATTTAATTAGAGCGACCTTCAGGCTTAAACCCAGGATGAACAAGCACAATTCGCTACTTTGTAATTGTCGTAATTGAATTTCGTATACCAAAAGGCTGCT